TTGATTGCAGTAAAGGGAGTCAATTTCTTCGGTCCTGAAAGCGAGTATGTTGTATCTGGATCTGATTGCGGTAATATATTCATTTGGGACAAAAATACAGAAGCCGTTGTACAGTGGATGGCAGGAGACAAGCAAGGAGTTGTGAGTTTCCACACTTCATAAATTCGATGAAAAACAAATTTTTCTTTTTTACAGTATAGAAAAAAAATAGCGGTCTTTTTTAAAATTTAATTTATAGGTAAATTGCTTAGAGGGACACCCACATATTCCCATCCTCGCGACAAGTGGATTAGATTACGATGTTAAGATATGGGTACCTTCGTGTGGAGAACCTCCGGTGATGAAATTATTCACGAATGTAGAGACAAAAATCATCTTTTCATAATGTTTTGTGTTTTACTTTATTTTATTATATTTAACAATAATTTTTCAACACGCGCGCACGTTTTTGAAATGAGAAAAATTAATACAGTAAACTAATTGCATTTCGATAAACATATGATTCACGTGTTCTGTTTTTTTTTTCACAAGTGTGTCAAGTCCAATGCAAGGAATAGGAAAGAAGATTCATTGAATGGCCATTGTTGGGAATTGAGTCTTATCCGTCAGAGAGAATCATTATGTGTAAGTAATACATATCGGGCGTTTTTGTCGATGTCGAAAAATTGACTACTCTATCGTGTTTTTCTTAGGATCTTTATAAGTCTTATGGATATGAGGATTGAAATTGAAACGATGATTATCACTTTGATGACTCCTCGATGGACAGTTCGTCCGAAGACAGCGATAATAATAATTGAAAGGCTGATGTTCGAAGAATACTGTGTCCTTCATCTTAAAGTTGTTGCTTAATTAACGCGATTTGATATTATTGCGATGAGAGTTATATAGCATTCAAGGCATTCATATTAGTCGTTTCACAATTATAATAAATTCTATTGAATAACTGTGTTAATAACTTTACATAGCGGAATGTATAGGAGGGACAGTACCGCGACGTATCGAAGGAGCTGCGTATTCTAGTTACAATTGATCTTTTTTATCAGTTAGATATAATTAGTAGTGTGACCTACATAAGTTGGTTTGTAATTTTTGAATATATATGTTGAACGGACACGAAGATTATATTTTTAGTGTACGATATTAGGTGATAACTAAGAGAAAGAGAATAATATAGTATTTTCTAATAAATTGTAAACGTGATTATAAAGCCGGAGAAAGCGCATAAAATTTGAAAGCGTTTGATAATTAACAAACGTATTTTTGGAGGATATGTATTCTTTACAGGATTGTTTTTTTTTTAATTTGGTTTATATGTTACATATATTTGCGCGTATTATATACATATTGTAATATATGAATATAATAATTATATTTGTAAGAAATTATAACGTTTTTTGATTTATAATTATATATTAATATTAATTTATATGAAGAAAAGATAGATAATGATATTAAGAATAGCAATTTATCGACAGATATTTGAATACATCAGAAAGTCGAATTTTTGTTGAGCAAGTGTATGACGACAAAGTTATGTATATATGTATGAATGAATAGTTTGTGATATTTCAGAACATTCGTGTTGAAGTCGCGTGTCTAGATAAAACACACATCAAAACTTCCTTTTTCGAAGCAGCTATCCAGGGAAAAAGAAAATGCAGAGGGACATTGCAGAAAATTACGAGAAATCGATAAGGATGAATGTCGATGATAAAACTTTGATTATAATTCAGATATCCTTTATGCAAGATAGATGATAACTTCAATCAAACTTCGATTAATTTAATCGATGACTAACTTAATATCTGTATTATTTCATTGTCATGGATGAAATATTAATTTTTCTGTTAAGTACTTTTAACAGATAAAAATTTTAAATTACAAATATTGGATTATAATAATTATATAATAATTATATAATAATAATATAATAATAATAAATTATTGCCTGCATAAAAGTGATAATTTACGAGTGCAATATGCAAATATAATGCCTAAAAATACACGCAGAAAATAAGGCGTTATGTCTAAATTAAGAAATTAAAGAAAAGGAATATTAAAAGAAATAATTGCGTTTATTAAGAATACGTTTGTTTTTAAGCTCGCTTTGTTCTTCCTCCTGCATGAAACAAGCAATAAAGATAGAATTACATTCACAGTATGTAAGTATAAAAAAACAAACGCACTCTAAATCATTACATTTATAAGATAGCTGATAGAATATAAATAAAGGAGCATAAAAGTGCTAGGAAAAATCTAAAGTAGTTTAAAAAAAGAATAAAAGGGTAGAAAAGAGGAATGAGACATGTATAAATCGACGCGGGACGTGTTTATGTGAACAAGACCTTCGCAGTGGTCGGTATTTCCCCGCCTTCGAGATAAATAAACGTCTCGACGTAAACGAAAATATTTTCCCCGCCAACGTTCTATTAAATCTCGAGACAGTCGAGACGCTGCGCGATGCAACGCATCGGTCAAAGCGCCGCTTTCGCGAGCGTAAGGGCGAGATCAGGATCTCTCGCGCGATTCTTCTCGCGTCGTGAAACCGTAAATGTTTCCACGCAATGCGAAGAAACCGCTGCTGCGCACTCAGAGGCTACGGTTGTCCCAATTTCCCGACCACCGTGAACAATGGCGATGAAGATTTCGTAAATATCGCGTGCGAACAGCGATAGTTTGGCATGTTCGTGGTTCGCAGTTATTCCCTCGAGATATTAAAAATATCTCAAATATCAATGTGGTCCTGCAAAATGTCATATCTATTTTTATTTTTTTAAATTATATAGGATTATAGTGGAAAATTCACGCGAGTTTAACTCTCTACGGGATCACGGCCTCTTCTCTTAATAAGCGTCTGCATTCTAGATTCCAATCTCGACCGTGAAACTTGCTCGTTTCGTTTCTCAGTTTACTGGCTAGTAGCCAAATATCCTCGGTAACGTGTCTGAACTACCATTGACTTTTCATGCATGTGCCAGTTGCTTCGCAATCGAATTCAAGCGCGTTATACCGAATGTCTGGTGAGCGACAAATAGACGGAATAGGGATGTCCTGGAATCAAACAAACATGAATTTATTATAGACAGAATTTTATTAATTATATCGAAGTGCTAAAACTAGGATGAGAATGGAAATACTTTCCTAGTTTCTACGTTAAAAAAATGAATTTGACATTTTCTCGACAATTCACGATAATGGCTTAAGAAATAATTTCAGATGGTGTTTCCATCGAAAAAGACCATAATTTAAAACGACTTTGATTGAAATGAGAATGTTGCTATTAACTTTAATAACGAAAACGTAATGTTGGCACTCTGTGTATACTTTTTTTTTTCATATTTAATCAAACTCTTTCTGGAACACATTGGGAATGATAGAATTTA